CTTGCCCCCCGTGTGAGGGTGCCCCCAATGGATATTTTCTTTTTATGAAGGGAATATGAAAGATGGCCATTTATTATGTCAAATATGGATACCTATATTAAAAAATAATTCTCAGAAGCTGACTTTTTCTTTGATTTTGGAATCCTTTGAATATCTTATATGCATGATGTTATAATCAATTCTTTTTCCATTTTCCTTTTGCTCTTATTTTTCTCTGTTTTAAACTCAAGCTGAAAGTATATCATCTTACTACATCAAATGAAGTCCCAATGTAACAATCTTCATTTTCACAACTCATACCAAGGTATAAAATCAATGCCATCTAGAGGAAAAGATATAGGAAAATTGGATAATTTGATTTTTTGGTAAATTTGCCCCAAGATGTGGGTAAAGGAAAATTTTAAGTTAAGAAGGGTTGCATAAATCAAGGTATGAAACAAAGATATTGAGGGAATATGATCTTTTCAGTAATTCTACCCTAATGAAGAAATTAGAGAGGTTTAGGCATTGTAAAGAAATATGGATGGTGATGTGTTTGGAATAGTCTTGACATTTATCAAATTACCAAAATCTAGAATCTTTAAGAAAGTGCCTCATGTATTGGCTTGCAAAGAATTTTTCAAATTTCTTTGCTCATAGCCTTAACGAAGATCATTAACTTGAAAATCTTTCTTTGTCAAGTGAAAATTAGGATCATGATATTTAAAAAGTCAGGCTTTGAGTGATGTGATGCTTAATTGAATTGGGGTATGAAATGGTAAGTGAAATAACTGGGTATGTTCATTCTTGATAGCAATCACCAATTCTCTTAAGAGTGTTTCCACAAAAGTGTTTATTTATAAAGAACATTTTTCAATCATGGAAAGAAATCATATGGGCTTTTATTGTTAAACAATTCAAATGGATAAAGAAAATATATACAAATACTCGTATGCAAATTATAATGAAAAAAAGAATTCTTATTTATGTACCAAAGATTGCCCCAAACAAATAAAATAATATACATACAAAAATGTATATGCAAATATATGTATGCAAAACATAGTAATAACAAGAATTCATTTGAAAACTATGTACAACACTAAAAAAATAAAATTACTCTTTAATTTACAATTAGGCATTTACATCTTTTAATATATGAAAAAGTGAAATGGAATAATGCAAAAATGAATGCATGTATGTATGCATGCATGAATAAATGCATGTATGCATGAATGCATGAATGAAATAAGAAAGATTTAATAATGTAAATGCATGCATATACAATAATAACAAGAATTTATGTTCAAAACTATGTACAAAACTTTAAAAAAAATTACTCTTTAATTTACAAGTAGGCGTTCACATCTTTTAATATATGAAAAAGTGAAATTGAATAATGCATGAACAAAATAAGAAGGATTTAATAATATAAATGCAGGCATATATAGTAAGAGAAAATGGATAGTATACATAACATATACAAGGAACAATATAAAGGGTTAGTGTGCGTATAATATATACAAAAAATAATATATAAATTTACAAGTAGAATAAATGTCCCATCATGTGTCCTATTTAGGATTTTCAAACAAAAGGCAAGGCAGAGCTCTAACTTAGATTTAAATCCTTAAGGTTTATTTACATGCTTGGTTAAAGGTTTGATACTCAAAGGTTCTCAAATTATTTCTTACATCATCATCTATTGTAAACTAGTAAAACACATTAATCCTCACCTACAATTATAGACTCAAACAGAAATGATTCAATTTCAGTAGGAGGTTATCACCTCATGAGAGTGTAGGTACTTGCTCTCTCCTAATAAAAGATAAAGCCCGAGTATAAAAACTTATGCATGAATGCAAGTATGGTGAGTGTAAATGGATATGCCAAATAATCAAATAAATTGATGCACATAAAAATTAAAATATGGGAAACAAGAAAACAAAAACAAATAGGTTAGTAATATGAAAATCACAAATAATTATATAATAAAACCATCAAAGCAAGACTTAAGATAACACATAACTAATAACTTAACTCTCTAATATCGCCAGTGGAGTAGCCAAATTGTCATAATGTTCAGGTCTAAAAACCTACCTATTAGACACAAAAATCATAAAGTCGCTACTAATCTTTTTTTTTTTTTATCTAGGTTTGATTGGCCACCTATGTGAATCTACCCTTTTTAAGATTATCCTAAGCCTAAGCTAAGAGTCCCTAAAAATAATAGATTCTAGTATATATTATCAAAACTAAGGTTCAAGAATTGGTTATGTGCATAGAAGGTATTAGCTCCCCTTTACGCCTAAAATTAGTACTAAATTAATTATGTGTTATATTGCCTAAGCCTTAGTAAAAAATATGATTTTATCATGTAAATAAATCAATTTCAATCCTTTTATTTATTTACAAAACATGGTCATACAAAAATTTTACCAAAATATCAAACAATCATACAATAAATATTAAATCATACCATGCAATAATATTATATCATGCAATAAATCATGCAATAAATAAAATCATATCATCCAATAAATTGTGTAATAATATAAAATCATACCATACAATAATATAAAATCATATCATACAAAAATTATCATGTAATAATATAATACCATAAAAATATTCGTGCAAATATATATAATCATGCAATCAAATATAATCACACAAATAAATATATTAATAATCATGCAATTAAATATATCAATAATCCTGTAATAAAATATAATCATACAAATAAATATATTAATAATCAGGCAATTAAATATATTAATAATCATGCAATCAAATTAAATATAATCATACAAATAAATATATTAATAATCATGCAAATATATTAATAAATCATGCAATTAAATAAAATCATGAAAGCAAATTAAATTCATGCAAATATATTAATCATGCAAATAAAATATTAGGCAGATAAATTATCATGCAAATATAATATTAATCAAGCAAATATAATATTAGTAATGCAAATTTATGCAAAAATAAATACTAAGTAATAAATATAAAAATAAGAGTAAGAAATTAAATATTATAAAAGTTATGCAAAAATCACAAAAAAATGAAGCAAATATTATGTCAATGGATTACAGGTTTTAACAACTTTTTACCTTTCAAAAACTGATGCTCCCTACTACAAATCTTAGCTTTCCTTCCAAAAACTTTAACCAAATCTTTTTGTAGGTTTTTACTTGATTGTTTCTTTCTTGTTGATTTAAAATTTTGTCCAAATTTTCTCACTTTTCAATAAAATCTGTTTGATTTTGAAGTGAATCTATGAATATAAAGGATCGAAATCCCAATTCAATTCAGAAAACTTTAATTCTACTAGATCTGGGAAAAATCTCCAAGATTCAATTTTTTGTAATCTTCCTTTTTTTCAATGAATTAAGGTTCAAGAATTTCCAAATTTTCAAAATCCAAAATTGAATCCAATACTGAATTTGAAAGTGAATCCAAGATTTCATACCAATTTTCAAATCCCACATTTTTCTTTTTTATTTTTTTGTTGTTTTTTTTTTCTACCTTGATAAAAATAAAACAAAAAATTAAAGTAAAAAAATTAAAATACAAATAAAATTTAGGACTTCATCATTGGGTCAAAAATTCACTTTTTCAATTAAGGTCCAAGCATAATTAAATCAAAATTCAAAACCCAATTAATTTTAAAAAGTCCCTTGATAAAATGGGTATCTACAATCAGCAAAGGAGTTTACTTCCCTGAAGGTGTGAGGAAACTCAACCCTTCCAATCTCACTCTTAAGTCTATCCACTTCGTTAAAACTTTGCCATTTCTTCCAAGGCCGACAATCTTCCTCCACCAGCTCACACCAATGGCCTAGACTCTGTCTTTCCTCAAATTGTACACCTCTAGATTTCAGAAAGTAGTTAGTAGCAATACAATTTAAAATCGCAAGCCACAAAAAACTTTGCGTTTTAGGGGGAGCATTATACTTCCATATTGAGCTAAACCATGCATACCTTCTAATCCGGGACTGAGAATTGGAAATTAAGAGCTTCGACAAATTTTTTAACAGAGAAAGAGCCATTATTCTGCAGCACCCACATTAGCTTATCTTTTTTCCTACTAACCACTACTAGGATTAGCTTTAGCAGCAACTTCCATTGTTTAAGAAAGAGATATTTGTAGCTTGCGACGTGAACTTGCGACGTGATACTTACATTTTATTCTAAATTAAGCTGTTGCAAACAAATATTATTGGAAATACTTTTTTAATTACAATCATTTGTAACACGACATAATATTTATATAAAGTTTTTGTTAAGATATCAAATTCCTAGTAGTATAAGATTTTACTAGCTAGATGCTTCTTTCATTATAATCGTTTTAAGCCGGTATCCTCTTATTCTCATAAGCTTAGTTTTGGTGTTTACTAGAGTTTTAATAATGAATTTTTTATAGATTTGACAGGTTACTAGGTAATTTTTGAAGGAGAGTAAAATAAAAGTTCTAAACCATCAAAATTTGAAGTGGACCTGTGATCTTTACAATTTTCATCACCAGAGAATATTGAGAGAGGTGCATGAAGAGACCAGCTACAATCTAGAATAAGATATCCATTTCTACAAGTAATTATTATATAATAAATAAATAAAGATAAAAGACAACAAAGCACAATAACCTTTTGTTTTTACATTGATTGAAAAGGACATTGATCAAGCAACCACGGAAGTTCCAAAGAATAAAACAACACTTTTGTGGGGTTCAGTCTAGATCTTAACATAGATTACAAAAAACCTGATAATGAGATCTTGATAGCAACAGTTCCATGTTCCATGGCAAAGCTCAGGGTGCAATGATGCCTAGGAAGCCTTAAAGCTACACGGGAACCAACCATTAAACTTTTAGCATGCCCACTTCTCTTCAAATAATGAGTAGATCGCAGTTTAATTTTAAGGCTAGCTTGAACCATGTCCTGAAAATTTCAATCATCTTTGATTGTTGGAGCTTTTGCTTAAATGCCTTACTGTGCAAAGGACTTAAGGACATGAGGTGTTTGACTGCAATCTTTTTATGGTAAATCCTGTTGGCAATCCCTGTAACTATTTAACACACCCTTCATGATTTCGTGAACTAGTTTGTAGGGCAATAGACCTCTATAGGCCCTCTTCACTTAGGCAAAAAAACAAGGCAAACGTCCTTCTCACAAACCAACCAAATCACTACAAACACTACCTGCCTAAAGACTCCATAAACATAAACACAAACACAAACACAAACACTCACCCCCCCCTTTTTAAAGTCACGAGACCCACTGTCCCTTATTGTTGTTTCAATTTGAGAGAGAGAGAGAGAGGAGATGAATCAAGAGAGGATGGCAGAGAAACTGATAGAGAACTTTCAAAGCTCCTTTTCTCCACCTTCTCTCAACTAGCCTCCATATTGCAGTCGCAAACTGAAGTCTTATAATTTTCTAAATCTTTAGTTATCTTCCCATCTGAAAGATTGTTTACCTCATATTTTTCTGTCTTTCCCTGTCGGTACCATGTAGGTCTCCCTAGAACAACACAACCATCTCTCCCTCTTTCACTTCTCCTCTATCTCATGTTCTCTTTCTCTTTAACCTCCATTTTTTTTTCTCTCCCTTCAATTTCCTTCTCCAAATTGATTTTTGTTCAACATTTTGCTTTTGCAGGAGACCCAAGAAGAGCCCCTTAGACCTCAACAACTTGCCCCACGACTACACTAGGGATGGTAAACATGTCTTTGAGGAAGGTTCCCCCTCCGGTATAATTTTATGCCTTTTTTTTTTAAAAAGCCATAGATTAAGGACAGGGAAAGAGTTATAACTAGAGTTGCATGTAGTGAGATTTGAACCTTAAATCTATTTATGATAGCTAAACTCTCGTTAAAATTTTCTTCTCCCACTCTAATCAAGATTCACAACATAATATATGTTTTTTCTTTTTTTACAAAATTAAGTACTGCTATAATGATAGTAAAAAAAATGAAGACCTTTGAAATAAACAACAACAAAGAAAAAAGAAAAGAAAATTAAACACACTCTTGGTTCTCCATGATTTGAACAAAAAAAATATGTTTTTTTTCCTTTTCTTCACGCTCTTCAACGCTCTATATAGAATAGATTAGCTGTGTTGATAAGCTTAAAAAAGCACAGGTTCTTTTGAAGCTTTAAAATGATCATATATATATAAAAAAAAGGAAGCAGTGGAAAGAAGAGCAAGAGATTGAGGGTTTTAATCACTTTTGTTAATATTTATACACGATTTGGGTAAATTAGGGTTCGGGTTTTGTGCCAAGACTGGTCTCACTGAAGTAGCTTTAATTGGCGTTCTCTGAAGCAGGCCATAGGAAAAAGAAAAGCGGCGCTAAGGATGGGAAAGATGAGTGCGGGAAGGTCTATGAATGTAGGTTTTGTTCCCTCAGATTTTGCAAATCTCAAGCTCTCGGGGGACACATGAATCGCCACCGGCAAGGCAAGTCATTTCAATTCTTTACCCACATGTTTTGAGGTAGATTAGCCAAGTCACTATCTTTATTTTAGTACCTACTTAGGGAATCGTCAGAGTTTGTTATTGTAGCTTTGCCCATAAAGCGTGGCCATGTCAATCTTGATGAAAAATGAGTTGGCTTCGTTACTGAATTTCTTGGTCTGGTTTTTCATTTTGATGATTACTTTTGATTGATTTGATTTTCTCTTTTTGCTGGGTGGTCAGAAAGGGAGACAGAGACACTGAACCGGGCTCGTCAGCTGGTCTTCAATAACGATAACTTGGTCATCCAAGGGCATCTAGGGTATGTTTCTTCAAGATTGACATCAACGGTTTCTTCTCCTCCCTTTCATTCATCATTTGGATCCTCATTTTGGGGTTGTTTTTACTTAATTCTCTGAGAAATCAAATGACTGAGCAAAAATATTAATACACACCCACTTGATTTCAAGATCTTATTTGTTTTGCACTAAAGAAGAGAGCAATTTGATGTAATTTATTCAAGTTATCTTGATGCCTCATGATCACTCTACTTATTATGGTACTGAGCTAAGGAAAAACATGAAATATTCCAATCATTGCAGCTGCCATCCAAGTTATCATCCAGCAGGCAACGTGGGTGATCCAATATTACCATTCAGGTCAGTTTACCCACCAAGACTGTTCTCTGGTTCTCCGTCGACGCTCTTGCCATCACCATTACAGTTACCACCGCAACCATATTTACACCCATCACCATCACGCCTTGGCTCCTATCCTTCCCAATGCCCAACTCACCACATGAACGACTACTATGTAGGACATGTCCTCGGAAGTGGCAGTTCATCACAATACCCTCACCAAAACATAAATAACCTGGGTGCACCAGACTCCAACTACACTTGCATTGGAGCGCCAGTTGGACATGGGTTCGGGCCTAGTTCAAGCCGGGTTGCGGACTTGGGTGGATCCGGAGAAGGGGTAGGGGGAGGAGGTGCTGGTGGTAGAGACGTATCACTGTGCAATCAGGAAGATGGATTGAATTGGGGGAGGAGCTATGCAGGAGGAATACAGCAGCGTTTGGAGCATCCTTCTACGACCAATCGATTTCAGGACGGGTTCTAAAGATTGTTTTATCTCTTTCCTCTCCTTTAAAAATTTTGGTTATGTTTATAAAGTATTAATCTGCTTTGATACGCCAACCAGAGAGAGAGAGAGAGAGACTTAACACACTGACAAATGTTGTCACGCAAGGAAGGAGAGAAAGAGAAGTTTTTGGTTTATGTACAGGGATTTGAGCTGCATTTTGAGCTCATGGACAATCTCAGCTAGTTTGACTTGGAGCTGTGTAGTTTGGAGGGGGTTGTGTTGTGTACCAAAGCAACTATGAGAAATGGGGACTACAGCTGGGAGGTGGGACAAGAAGTTAGATATGAACTGAAAGTTTGTAACCCTCCCTTTTGCATTGGTTTATTAGTGTTATTATTATTATTATTTATTATCTCTTATGTTTCTTATTATCTCTTGCTACGCTTTAGACTTTAGTGTGCTTCCATTGTTGCCTTCATCCAACTTTGACTGAAGCTGGGAAAAGGGGGTCGGTGGTCCTCTTTCTTTCTCTCTCCCGAACCAAAATAGGGATCTTCTTGATTTTTGGGACATTTATGGTTACACAATGCTTCCACAATATGGGCAATGGCCCAGAAAGAAGTGGCTGAAACTCCGTTGAACAGTTTTTGCTGAGAGTTTTCTGACAAGAAATAGGATGAGCACTGAATTTTATTTTTTCCGTTTTTCTTTTTCCTCTTACCTTGAGATATTAGTTAATTAAATGTTGTGTAATTAATATTAATGCAGAGCTGGTATACAGTCATGAATACTTCTCTTTTTGGTCCTCCTTTTCAGTTTTACTGACCTCCTCAGTGTAGCCCTAATTCCTCTCCATTATAACAGCTTTGATCTTTTACTTTTATTCAATTTAATTGTCCATGATGCTTTTAATGTAGTTAGTATTTCATTCAGAGCCATTATTTGATCAAATGAGGAAAGATTATGGGAGGTTAAAGTTCCAGGAAAATGAGCAATGAACATCAAGAAATAAGTATAGGTAAAAAACAATGAACATAACTTGTTGACTTCCCTACCTTGGCTTGACTTCAATTAGGTTTGGACTGAACATCACTTGTTATCTTCAGTTTGGTGGTAAAGGGGAAAACATTCTTAAAGTCATCAAGGATTTTACTGAGTGAAAAGATCTCTTTGATTCATTCATCTGACATATGATCAATCAATCAGGCTTTCTTTGATTTTTTGATTCATTCATCTAATATATGGACTGAACACTGGTTCACTTCCCTAGACAATCAGGCTTGTTATATGGTCATCCACAACAAAAGCCAAAAGAGGGGAAAATAAAAAAAAAAAGTAATAATGCACTGAGGACCATATATTCATATTGTTTAATAACGTTAATTACATATGCTTTTACTTTAAAATGCAATAGGAATCTAAATATTTCGAGAAGAAAAGTAGAAGCAGCTAGGTATCAGCTCAATAGCTAGCTCTTATGTTACAATGTTCTACAGAAACCATGAGCTCAAAAGACCTCCTTAACAACACCAGAATGTAGTCATATATCATAATTAACTAAACAAGATGTAATACTGTTTTAGATCGAGTTATCAAAGTCTTTTAGCTTAAGTAGTTGACGATAATCACCATGTGGGATTAGTTTTGTGGGAAACTAAGATACAAGGTAAGAGTGTTGAAATTTATTCAAGAGATATAACTTTGATTTATGAGATTGCTTAAACTTATCCCTAAGCAGAGTCCAATGAGATCCGGAGGATCTTCAATATATACCATTTTTCTGATGATAAACAGTACCAAATTATAGCAGTAAAATCTAATACATAGTGAGAAATGGAAATCATGCAACAATCCTTGTATAACGTATAAGTTAAAATCGTACAGCATTTGGATTAAACTTCTTTCCCCTTTTCTGCTTCAATTAATCGGGATTTGTTTCTTTCAATTAGTAATGTCTTAGTTCTAGAGCTAGATAAAGAAGACCCTAAAAATTGAGTTTATGTGAAATTAAATTTCTTAAAATTTTAAAATTTTAATTAAAGAATGTTAAAAGTGATTGATTGAAGTATCCTTAATAAGTTTTTTGTTTTTGTTTTTAATAAATTTTAATTTAAATGAATTTTCTTTGTCATTATTAGATTTTTTGATAATTAGACTAAAAAAGTGCTAAAAGTGATTGATTAAAATTATCTTAATAAAATTTTAATTTAAAAAATGTTAAAAATGATTGACTAAACTATCATTAGACATTTTTTATAAAATTTAATTTAAATAAATTTTTTATTATTAGACTATGTTTTTTATAATTAAAATGATTTTTCAGATTAAATAAAATATAAATAGAATGAGATCAAAGCTTAGTGTGCATAGGAATTGAACATTTATATGGAGTCTGTTTCTTTAGTTATTATAAAAACAATTATATATGTAGTTTATATTGATAAATAAATTCATTAAAAATTATCACAATTAAGTCATTGAAACATTTTTTTTCTATTTTTGGCCTTTAAATTTTTTATTTTAATAGATTTTTTAACTATATATGTATGCTAATGATATTGTCTATGTTTTATGAATTGATCATTTAATTTGATTATTGATAACATAATTAAATCTTTTTAGTCCTTTAAAATAATTCTTTAACATATCATTCTTACAATTTAATTTGACTTCTATAATTAATTTTTCTTTTGTATTTTTTTACTAAAATTTTATAATTGTTATTTCCAAAAACAAAAACTAATATCAAATCAAATACAAATCAATTATCCACCAATAATTATCACTATATGATTCATTAAACATTTTAATTGGACTTTTCATCTGCAGAATTAAATAATTCAAGAGATGGTGGAGCTACCGAGAGCTTGGGATTGGCTCTCGTCAAATTGATATAAGAATTATTCCCTTTGATTGAAATAATAATTAATTTAATTTTCTTTTTAACTTCTATCTTAATGTACATATATATGATTAATTTATAGTTCAAGATTATTTAATTTTTTCAATTGTATTAAATTATTCATTTTTTTTTTATCATTCAGGTGATTGAATTACTTAGCGAGAATTATTCTAAGTAAAAAATTATCAAGTGAAGTAAAATAAACTATTTTTGATGAATTCTTTCAAGGTGCAATAAAATTCATTAGAACTATCTTTTGAATGTGTTCATGTTAAAGTTACGTTTATTCATGAAAATTTATATTGTTAATGTTGAAAATGAAATTATTATAAATTGTATAGGTATTACATAATAAGTTTATTATTTTGAGAATTGAAATTTTCTTAAGAAAACATAACAAATACCAAGGTTAGAAATTATTTTATTTCATTTTAATTTTTAAAAATATGTATTTTAATATGTTTATATAATAAAAATTAGGGAGGAATTAACTTACACAAAAAAAAGTTTTACACCTTCTTACACAATTTTTTTAACCATTAGTTTTAATAGAACCAAAAGATGTAATTAAATAATTTTTTTTAATCTTTTTGACTTATCTTTCTCATCTATTGGATCTATTGAAATCAATGGTTAAAAAAAATGTATAAGGTATAAAACTCTTTTTGGTGTAAGTTAAAAACTTGTTGCTTACCAGTCAGGAGTACTGTAAGTGTACGGATCACAAAAATAATAAGATCAAAAGTATTCCAGATTATTGTCATTGTGAGTTCTAGACCTAGAGGTAAGTATGAAATTTGAAACTTCAAAAAAATTACTAAATAAATTAAACCTAATTTACGACAAATTATGAAGAGAGTAAATACCTAAAGTTTAAATTTACTAAAAATAAAACATGCTAAAAATGTGAAATTTCTAAAAATAAAAAATTTAAACAACTTCGTAAAAATTAACAAGGCATGAAAAATAATTTAAACACATTTAAACAAGAATTTAAACATAAAAGCCTAATAATTTAAATGCAAAAAATTAAAATAAAAACAAAAAAATTAAACTTGTAAGTAGACTAACCTAAATTCCTACATAACCTATAACCTATTTACCACCTAAACATGAATGAAATGTAAATAAAAATAAAAACTATTTTACATGGTTAATATAGACCTAAAATGGAAACGAAAAACCTAGGAAACTATATGCAAAAACTGAACATAAATGGAAATAAAATTCATGCAAAATGAATTACTAGAATCCATGGAAATTACGACCTACAAATTAAGATGCTAGGAAAATGCAACCCTTACTAAGGAATTTGTAAAAACTGTTTTACTAGCTTAAAATAGACATGAAAACAAGCCAAAAATGTATGGAAAGCTTTGCCAAACTGACGAAAAATGGTTAAAAAAAATACATAAGATTTAGCATGAAATCTAACCTATGCTACTATCCTAATGAACTAAATGCAACCAAAACTTAACTTAGCTATATGCCACATAAAAACCATGAACATAGCATCAAAATAGACTAAAAAATTAACAAAAAACTGCAAGACACTCAGACCAAAACTAAACACAAAGTGAAGAAAAACTACTTGAAAAAATATGTGAAGAATGGGAGGAAAAATGCATGAAACAACAAACCTATGTCTAAGAAAAATGCATGAAACAACAAACCTATGTCTAAGGCATTTAATCAACCATGCAATAAATACTTAAACATGATTTAATAACATAATAGAAGTATAAAAATGATATGCAAACAGCAACAAAAATTAAAAGGCAGAATATAAAAACTGGGCAGAAAAATTAAAGAGCAAGAAATATAAAGTGCACATAAATAACCACACAAAGATCAAGCTTATGGAGCCCTATGATGTTTTCATCAAATTAATATCCAAAGCCATCCTTTTCAAGCTCCAAAAAGCCCAAATATCATCCAAAACTTGCTGGAAAAATAAAGGAAATCAAACCTGGAAATGGGCAGAAACTAAATCTAGAAACTAGTAGAAATTAAAAATGAGAACTTGCATAAACACATTAAAAGAGAGCTTAGAATGTGTTGCAACTTGAAGGAAATTTAAACAAGCTAAAAGATAAGAAAAAATAACAACTAAAAGAGCTTGAAAATGAGCTAAAAAGGAAAGGAATGAAGTCTTGACGGAGGGGCTGGTTGGCCAGCAATGTTGCTGCCACTAGACCCCAAAGACATCCTAAACTAAACAAAGGAGAAAAAATGAAAAAGAAAAAACTCCTAAGGCTAGCCCTCTCTCCCTTTTTTATAACCAAAAGCTAGGACATTTTACAATATACCCACTATACAAAATAAGCCATCCCAGCCCTTCATTCAATCATCACAGCTAAGGTAATTTCTAGGTATTTTAAAGACTACTAGGCATGATTACATGAGTTGGAATTTCTAGCTTAGCT